GAATTTGAGAGGTATTCAGATGCACAAGCGTCCACCATACTTGCTGTGCGACTCATCATAAGGAATCGGGCGCGGGCATGTTTATTGTTACTGTCATGCATCTATTTGAGCGGGAGGTTTTGGGTTTATTTCCCACCTCGGTTATAAAGAAGCTACTGTAGCAGTCCGAGGCTTGGCATCTCGGACCTGTCCTTACACTATCCATTATGTTTTCCTACAAGTCTGGATATGGCTTCAGGCCAAAAGTTAAAAATTTTTGTCCAATGCAAAATGAAAATCTTAAAATGTAAAGGGAATGTGAGAATACTCAAACAAACAATCTCTCCAATACCAAAACGAGGTGAAAACATAACCAAGAAAAAAAAATGACAAGATTCTACCAAAAAGAAACTTCAATGCATTACTATGACTTATGATAAGAGACAGAGAAAGAATGATAGAGGAACAAATCAAACCTCAAGCATGGGGCTATTCTTTGGGATACTGCAAGCAAGAATTATGTTAAGACCAGTTTTTAACACTGCCATGGAAACAAAAAAATTGCATTTAGCCCACAATCAAAAGAAACAAAACAAAACAAAACATATTAATAGAAATTTACCTAATCGCCTAGCGATTCCAGAACCGGTGTTACCTGAAGAACCTCCAAGAATGGAAGTCACACCGACCGTGTTGCTCTGTTTCCTCCATCAAAGCAAATGACAATTTAATCAGTATTCATTATCAATTAGTAATCCCTAAATTTTGAAGATTATAATCTTACAGGTCGTGTCGATGCAGCTGCGTACAAGTCACCGAATTTCGTAGAGTTGCAACCGATCCATGCATATATCTGTTCGTAATTAGAAAGCGATCAACTTCTGAATATAAAAAAGGTCAGAAATTCAACTAATTAAATACCGATACCTGTTTAGGGAAACGAATGATTTGGAAGTGGAAGGTAGCGTCATCGACTAGCTCGCTAAAGCAGGTGATTTCAAGACCGCCAGCGGCGGCGTTGGCGGTGGTGCTGAGGTGCGTTGACTGATCTTGGAGTTTGAGAGACTGATCGGAGACTAGGTCCGAGTCCAAAGCACCGTCGTACTCTGATTCTTTTCCAGCCATTATCGTGGCGCAGAAGCTCGAGCTGATGACTCCGGAAGAAAGCCCTCTCTGCTCTGGCGTTTATGCTAATTCGTATTGCTCACTGCTCAGATCAGGAAAGAGGAAGAAATAGATAGGCCCAAACTAAAAGAAAATAGAGGCCTAATTTGTAGCCAAAAGGCCCAAAAGACATAAAACGACTTTAATTTATTTTCCACTCAAAACGCAACCTTAGACGCCGTTTTTGTCCTCTTCAGTTAATACTACAACTTGTTGCAACAAGATCAGCTGCGCCTAGACCTGGCAAAAATCCACCCGACCCGTCAACCCGACCCTAACCCGACCCTTAAAAAACGGGTTAGGGTCTACATATCTCAACCCGCAACCCGTAGATAACTCGTATTATCAACCCGTACGGGTTACGGGTCGGGTTAGGGTCAACCCGCGGGTTGACGGGTTGACCCGTTTGTTTTATTTTTTATTATTATTTTTAAATATTATACTTATCATCCTTAATTAATTTTTTTATTAATAACTCCTTCCATTAATTCATACTCCCAATTTCTAAAGAAAGAAGAAGAAATTATAATAAGCTTGATCTAATTACCCAAGTATTATTATTATTATTATTATTTTTTGTATTAACAATTACCCAAGTATCATGAATGAAATGATAATGCAACTAAAAATATTAAAAGATGT